AAGCATAAGGTAAATGTTTCCTATAATGTACTACCACATCTATACGTGAACAACATTTGGTTTGCATTATTACGGTGAGTTACATTTTAATAATTTTTTATTAAGATTTCACTTATATATATATAAGTGAAATCTTAATATATATTTATAATATATATATATATATATATATATATATATAATATATATATTTTTTTTTGTTAATGTTTTTAAATATTATTTTTAGAAGTAAATAATTATTACCATATTTTATAAGAAGATATATGCTATGTATGGTATTTATGATATTGTTATATTCATTTTCTTTCAAAATTTAAAGTTTAATTGTAGTAATATGATATTTTAATTTATTTTATATTACAAACAAATAATGGAAAATATTATTAATAAGTGAAAATTTGTCTGTCTGTCTGTCTGTGTGTGTGTGCGCGCGCGCGCGTAGATATGCGAAGAAATTTTAATTTTGGAAATCAGCCAGTACCACGTATGAGGAGTATCGCTAGAAATTGATCCTAAAGCAACATAAGATCAGCACAATCTGTAATTGAATAAATTCTCTCTCTCTCTCTCTCTCTCTCTCTCTCTCTCTCTCACTCTCTTTCTCTGTCTGTCTCTGTCTCAACTCAGCCGTATGACAATCCGATTTCTAGACGTATGTGAAGGAATTCATTTCCTTTTATGATTGGCTACGCGTCCTACCTTGTTTCCTAAATTAATAATGTAGAGACTTGTGATCATATTATTATTTAATATTCAGTGCTATAATATGTACAATTTCCTTTATTAATCTTAACAATCTTGTAGGTCTTTTAATTCGAAATATTCAAGCTTTATCAAATTTTATTTTCCAAACATTCAGAATTCCTAATTGTAAGTTATAATATATAATCGGCATTCGCGAGAATGTACATAAGGATTGATATAATTTATTTATAATTTTATTTATATGTTTTTTGAAATTATTAATTTTATAAAAAAATTGCATAATTATTAAGGAAATAAATAGAAATGTACTTATAATCCTAATGGATTTATCGTGTCAATTAATGCTTAATGTGCAAACTTTGTAAAAATATCTTTCTGTAATACGCGAACTTTATAAATATGTATATATAGAATTAAAAAAATTTTTTTTATGAAAATAATAAATATTATTAATTTTTATATAAAAATTAATTAACTTATAAATTGAAAATTTTAACAACTAAAAAATCCTTGTTATTGTATTAGCATTCCATTTTGATTAAATTGCATAATTAAAAGTACGTATTGGCGAAGCATTAACAATCAGTTATTAAGGATGATTAAAATATTTCATTATTTTTGGTTTATTTACTTTTAGTATTTCATTTGAAAATTTGTCAATACGTATTTGGTTATAAAATAAGCTCAAAAAAGCTTGACAGTTTAATTAAAATTAACAGTTACATTGCATTAATTAAACTATGATCGTATTAAATTTATGACTCATTTTATTTCAAGAAATACATTAGTACAATAAAATAATTATAGTTATATAAATAATTAATATTCATGAATATATAAAGACAATTGTATAAAGTTCTACTCTGTTACAGTAACACATGTCGACTACATAATAATACTTTTTTAAAAATAGAATAATTAATGAATTTGGCTTTTTGACTTTCCATTTAAAAATAACTGTAAAAAGTTTTTATTATAATTATAACCAAACTTTTGAAAGTAATAATTATTAGGCATATATCGTGGTTTTTATTTGTTTAAATACAGTTGTACAAAATAATATGGTTTTTAAGCAAACATTGTCTACTTTTAATTTCTATATTTTATAATTAATTTTTACTTTAGAAATATTATAATTTTTTAAGATATTACCTTTATTTTTCTATATAATAAAGCTAATTAATCATATTTGTCATTATTTAAGTTTTTTTAGGTATGCAGATAGAATTTTTCCATTTCAAGAGTACTAAACTTCGGCTTCATATACGTATTTTTTTCCCTCCCCTACAAACATTTTTATATTTACAAGGTTATGGATGCGATTATGACTAATTTAAAAAATAATATAATAATTACTTAAAGAATTTTCAAATTATTGAAATTTTATAAAAATACGTAGAACTTAGTTTTACTTATATTCATAGTTTAAAATTTAAGGAAGGAGTGTAGTAAATTTAATACCACATGAATTCACTTTCTTGCAAGTTTATATGCTCTTGTCGGCGAGGTGCATGGATGTGTGTGCTGAGACGATGCGTTTTGAAAGTAAAATTCATTCTGCTTAAATTAGCTTCTCAATAGTGAAATCAGACATTCGGAATAGATAAACTCTAACGTATTTGACTTTAGTTTATATTATTTTGATAAAGCAATATGTGGGACGAGCTAATATACTACAAGACTTACTGTAGTAAGTCTTTATTGTTTGTGCAAACGGTTTAAATAAACTACAATTTATGTTCTATTAGCAGACGATTGAAAATAGCTTAATGTTAATCCTAAACTTCTTGATGTTGTTTTCATTAAGATTTTCCCTTATAATGTGGAAGAAGTAGCGCAGATAAGTACGATAATAAATCGGTCGATAAAGGAGCATTTCGATAAATAGAAAAATTTATTTTGTAATTTATCGTTAATTTAACGTTATATATCATCTAGTGTTAATGAAACGAATTAAGCATTAAATTTTAAATACGTAATTTTAAATGAAGATATTTAAAGAAAACGTGAATAATGCGTGGGAGTATGCAAGATATTTGAGAAACGTCTGAATAAATTAATCGTCTCGAGTATATGAATATTAGCAATTTCACTCTAATTAAGCTAGTTAGAAGTCTTTACGTAGAGTAAAAAAAAATTATTAAAAGTTTTTACGTGTGTTAAGAAAGAATTAGAAGTTTTTACTTAGGTTAAAGTTTACACTTTAACTAATGTAATTGCTGTTGGAAACTAAAATCAATGTTGTAAAGTAGTTGATATTATTTACTAATTTACAATTAATAATTCATAAATAAAGGTACTGTATATATTTTTATACGTTTCCTTTCTTAACTAGAAATAATATTGAAAAGCTTTTAATTCTATTTATATAAATTATCCGGCTAATCATTAAATTTCATAATTAATGTATCATTAAGTAATAGTATCGACATTAAATTGTGATTAACTGTATTTAATTAAGATGATTATAATTTTCAAATATTTTATAAATCAAACATTTATTGTAGATAATTTAATATGATAAATTATCAGATATAATCATAATTAATAATCATTTAGATTACAAAAAATAATAATTATTATTATAATTTAAGATATTGATTTAAATTTGGGTTATCGCTATGGAAAAGTTCGATAAAATGAAAAATAAATATTACTACTAATTAATGATAGTTCTAATTTCACTATATTTCTAGTATTTTATCTATAAATATCTATTTTATCAATAAGCTATTATATATGCTTAAGCATTATCTCAACATTAATAAGCGAAATGAATATATCGTTTTATTAGAATAAATTTAGATGGCATTCATAAGGAGAAAATTCAGTATTCATTGACATAGCTTATGTGTAAAATATTTTATATTTAATTGAAGTGTGAATGACGTAAGGCTGGTAACTTACTAAGCCGATACAAATTTTATACGCGCACTTATAATGCAATAGAAACTTTTAAAGCGTAAATTTTTAATCCTCTTCTGTTTAACCAGAAAATTTTACCAATCACGATAGACGCCTTCAAACCACCCTACTTCCATTCTTTCTTCTTCATCTTCAACACTTCTCGCCTCCTTTCATCGAGACATCTCACTTTCTTTTATTTTTTCCTCCTTATCATGCTACCTAGATTTCATGCAAGCTCGAAAAGTTTTCGCAAGCTTCTTATATAAGTCGCTGCGCTTTCGAGCGCTCGTCTAAAAACTCATCGGAAACTCAGATTAGACCGTGGAATGAAAATAAGAGTGCAAAGTAAAAAATGAAATCGTTAAGGGGAGTAAGGGGTCGTGAGAGCCATGTCACGAGCGATTTGCGTAACCGCATTGTTAAGCAGATTAAGTATTTAGGATAGAGTGCTTGCTATACTCGGCATTACCGAGCTTACGAATCTGCTGACAACGATACTTTTCTTTATCATTACTCATACATTGTATTGATCTATGAAGCTTATTTCAAATATTTTTATTTTTGGATCTACGATCTTCTCTCAGAGCTATCTGATTTCACTGATAAGTTGGAAGAGACTTTTGAGAGAACCGAATTTAATTACAAAGGTTTTCTACATTTATAAGAAATTCCTTAATTTGCATGTTATTTTTAAATATTTGAATTGTATGGATTAGGCGAGAGAGAAAATCAATTATTTGAATAAGATATCAAGCCTAATACTATTGAATTTCAATGTATGCGATCCAATGTGATAAAACTTTATTTTACCTTAACATTTAAATATAGATATTTTATTTAGTCTTTTTTTTTTTTTTTTTTTTTTTTTTTTTTTTTTTTTGTTATAATTCCAATTGATTTTAAATTAGCTATCTATATTATGACAGTAATGAATTGACTTTTTATTAAATTGCTTGATAAATATGATTATTAATTAATAATTAAATTTTATTATAATTCATTATAATTAATTTGATTAATGGGAGAGAATAATTTTGGAAATAATAAAAATTTAACATTGATATTAATATTAAAATATTCATAAAATTACCCCTCCCCATATATATGTCATTTAATGCAAAGCAAGTAGAATTAAAAATTTTGCTTAAAATATCATAAATGTAGAAATTACTTTCTGCCGTAATTATATTACAATATATTTATTATTTAACTACATAAATTAGATTTAAGCTTATCCGCACTATTACGATAATACTTAATTATTCACTACGTCTGTTTAACGTGGATGGTAAGTCAATATTGAATTGGCTTAAAAATCATACGATGCATTATTTTTGAAGAAAAATTAAGAAAAAGCGAGTAATGAAGTCATGCGTACCTTAGAATTGTCATCTGGAAAAGACGTAGCTGACAGTCAAATGAACGAGCCAGAGATTTAGGACTGATTTTGAAACTCCGTTTCCATCATGTACTGCAGCTGGCAGTTCTCCTATAAAATGACAAGTGCAATATTACATTGATACTGTCACTTTCCTTTGTCGGATAATTAGTTAATCAAGTAAATACGGTAATGACAAGTAACGTAAGTGAAAACATATTCTAATTATCTAACATCATTAGCATTTTCGGTATAGCAATTTAATTAATAAAGTCATAAACTATCAATTCTATCGACATTATGAATTCGAATAAGAAAAAATTAGATTAAATTTTAGCCTATTTAGATTGTCATCTATAGTTAGATGGAAATAAGAAAACGATTTTACATGAAATTTTAAAAAGTCAAGTAAATTTGAATATGTGCAATCGCCTATTAAATTTTTTTTAAATCTTATAATGTATAGATGTAATATTATGAAAGTACCATTAAGATAATGTCCGGGCAAGATTTGATGTCAAATAGGTACGTAGGCTTGCACAGTTGAGCGCGCGCGTGCGCGCGCGCACACACAAGCGTATTAAAGTTTTGAACTGATTCTTAATAACTTAACAACTTATAGTAAATTAATGTTGACATTTTTAATATGAAATTATTATTGACGAAATTATGAATCTTTAATGTAGAAACGTAAATCAATATCCTACATTCTACAACTTTTAAATCAGAATTAAAGTAATGAATGATTTTTATTTAAATTCATCTTTAAAATTTGTGTTTCAATCTATTTTTAACAATGATAAAAATAAGTTAAAAAGACCAAGGTGTTGGTTAATGAAAACAGGAGTTATAATTATAATTAAATTATAATTTCGAATTGATTACAATAGAATACGCAAAAAGCAATTTTTATAACACAATATAAGAATTATTTTTTTATACTAATATTAGATAGAGTTATTAGTAGAAACTCTTAATTAGTAATATAGAAATATATAATTGTATTGGTAAATGAGTATCTATGATCTATCTTCTATCTAACTGAAGTCATCAACTATTTCAATCTGCATAACTATTGATTATATATGATTTTTATTCGTATCGACTTTAATTTAATTAGTAATAATATTTAGGCTCACATGTTAAAGATATTTTATTCTATTAGTGTTAGCAATTAATACACATATAATTATTCTATATTATAACATAAAATTATTTAATTATTTTTATTAAATAAAATATATCCGTAAAAATGTATAGAGCATATATCATTAGTTGTTTATCAAAATTAAAAGTGATTTGAATAATATTTCTAACAATCTTGCATTATCATATTATTAAAAATTTAATTGTCATGCATACTAAATTCATTATTAGCCACTGAATTATATGACTTAGGAATTAATTTTATATAGTTTAATTTGATTATTCATATAAGAAAAGAACTCCATGAAATATGCCTCCACTAGATATATAAACATATTTTGCTATTTGTTTTTTTTTATATATGAAATCATTATATGTTTATGTATATATGGTTTATAATTCTTTGTGAAAATTTGAATTTGTATCTCTATTGAGTTAAGTTTTTCTCGAGTAAGATCAACCGACCAACAAACAACATCTTTCTTCTCTTCCTTCGAATGAAAAATATACGTAGAAATGTTAAGAGGAGAAGAAAGTTTCTGGAGAAGTGATCGATGAAAGTATAAACCGCTGCAAGGAATAGAGAAAGTGAGAGAAATAAAAAGAAGCTGAGTTACAAAAAAGGATGAATGAGATCTAAGTACGACGGCTTTTTCGATAGTTAAGTCTTTGTGTACTGTACAATTATATCTCACTGATCTCATTATAATCATTTTAATTTCTTTTATTACAGGTCTGCTATTGCAAAGACTGCCTACCGTTATTAATAAATATTTAATTTTTACTCTTGCATTTCGACATTAATTGTATAATATTCGAACGATATAATAGTAATAAATAACAATAATGAAATTTATATTGTAGAAATGTATTAAGTAGTTGTATGTACGACATTATCAATAAATGCTAAATACATAATATCTTATGAAAGACTCGAATAGCTTCGAATTTTAATTATTTGTTAAATTTCAAAATAGCAATTATTATTGAATTGAAGATTAAAATATATAAATGTGAAGGGTCAACATGTCATAAAATAATGTAATTACGTTATGTTATTTAAAAGTCGGCAATAACATATGGAATTATGCTGTGACTATCTTTAAGCACTTTTGTCTATTTTATAGAAATATTTATTCTTTAAATTTATTAATTATTAAATTTAGTTATTTTACGTTATTTTCATATAGAATAAGTATAAAATAAAACATAGAACATCTACAGCCTTATTCAAACCTTTTTCTAGAATTTTTTTAATATCTTTTTTACTATTTTTAATAAGAAATATATTATAATAAAATTTGAATGCAGCTAAGTAATAAAAATACATTCGAGTTAATTTTTTTATATTCTATTATTGTGGATACTCGTGAATATATATGTTCATATATTAATTCGCACATTGATTCATATATACACGATCACTTAAATTACATTTTTTATTTTTCATTAATTAAATGTCTATAACTAAAATTATATTTCATATAAAAATTCTTCCTCTGTGAAAGGAAACTGTATTTCCTTTTTTTTTTCAAAAGAAGAATATTACATTGGCTAATTAAAGAATTTTTGCTGAAATGATTGTAATGCTATTTGATTATTTGAGTAAACATTTAATTTTTCATAAATCTGTGATAAGTACAAATAAAAACTAAAATATCAGAAGATATATACTGTGATTATTTCGCATTTATTTATACGTGGATCCTATTAAAATAATTTTATTTGAATTCAAATAATTTGTAAATGTTTTATATTGGAAATGTTTTGAAAATATTTATATACACTTGAATGCGAAGAAAAACATTTCTTTTTGAAAAGAAATTCTGTTTTACATAAGTATCATTTACGTTTCAAATTTCTTAATTCTACATCATTGGATTAATTGTATTTACTTTATATCTAAAGTTTACCTTTACACATAAGCTTTTATAGCAATATAAACATTAACATCCACGTCGAATGATTTATTTTGCGCGTGCGTCAACATCAGTATAAGATCACTTGTTCTTATGATAAACGAGTATAGTAAATATGTTGGAAACTTCGAGAAATTAGATCACTCGAAGGAAATATCGAACTTGAAAAGTCTACGGCTGTTTTGCAATCCTTTTTCTTTCCATTGACAATACCATATCTGTTATACTTTTATTTCGTTCCCTTTTTTTAGCACTCTTCCTTCTTTCACTTTCTTATTACGAGGAATGCATTATTAATCATTAATCAAATGCATTAATCAAATATTATTATTCGATTATTATATTATTAATGAAAAGAAGAACGAAATAATTATAGATGTATTAGTTTTTAGAAAAATGGTTCTTTCTTTTCTACGAAAAGATTAATAGATAAAATATAAACATATCGAACTAATATTTAATTTTTGTACTTTTTTAATATTTTAAAAGGAGACTGCGATTTTAACGACCAGAAAGATTTAAAAATTTTATGCAGCTATTGATATTTAAACACTTTTATTCTTCAAGAAAAGTTAACAATGTAATTTACGTCCTTAGTTCCAACGGGAAAGCGAAAGCACACAAACGCGTAGAAATTTGTACCGCTTAAGTATATATGAAGTAAAGCTGTATTAATTAGCTTAGGTAATAAAAATATATCAAATTTAAAGTTTGATTCGAAATTACTTTTAGGTTATTTCGAAAACAATCGTCCTGTCGGGTATGGCTGTACTACATGTAGGCGAATGGCAGCGTAAAGCATAATCCTTTTCCTTCGGCTGCATTTTCTCTCTACAACACATACAATTCCTCGACGATTGGTTTCCTAGAGTTTGCCTTTCGTTTTTCACGTAATGCGTTAGAATAAAGCACTTTTAGTTGACCCAAAACCAAACCCACGTCTATCGTATACGAATAGGACAAAAGGATTTTCTAGGGAGTCACGTTAGATCCGTAAGACTGAACCTTCGCTTTACTCCTGATCGATCCAAGTGACGATGGACTGACGGTTTGTTGTTTACTAAAACGACCGTTACATAGTTCATTGGATGGCGTAATTGCTTTGATAAAATATTAAAGGTTAATCCGTGCTACGTAATCTGTTGAATTCTATGTATAAAGTCAGTAGTAATATGGAAAATAATTGTTTAAAAGGATAGACGAAGCAGTTATAAGTGGCTCGATAAAGTGCAAAATTTTATAAATCATTTAAATTTCGTATAATCTAATAGAATAATAGTAATTATACGGACAGCATTTACATTAAAAATAAGTATAAAATTATATTAAAAATAAAATTTAATTTTCAGTTTCATCAGGAAATTTCAAAACTTTTGAAAATATATCGATAGTAAAAAGTTCTATTTATAACATCATTTTTACAATACAAATTGCCTACTTACATGTTCAAACTTATCTGAATTCTTTTATTATACAACTCGTATTTTTACTCCTTTCAACGCTATTTCACAACTACTGTAATAGTGTTTTATAAAAAGGTATGCTCAAACTTTTGCTACTTCTATTTCTCTAATTTTTCAAGTTGAATCTTCTTATTCTTTTCTTCCGAAAACGTAGAATAAAAAATAAAAAAAAAAATGAAAAGTAGAAAAATTAAATAATTATAGACACATTAGTTTTATCACATATTATCACTGCTCGTTGAAAATTAATTTTATATTCAATATACAAAGTTTATTACATCCACTATCAATTGGAAATTTTTAAATAACTTATCTTGCTTATAAACATTGGTTACTTGATTCTATAATTTAATATTTACAAATCATAGTTGCTCGATGGAGCAAATAACTAATTTATGTTTACTTTTAAGATTATATTTTATATAATACAATGCAATTGTGTCTACGAAGCTCTATACCTATGACTTATATACTACTCTTAAGAAAAATCAGAAAACCCGGAGTTCTCAGGCGTTCGTCTTAATCCGAGATCTTTCTTTTTCCGCTTTTTTTCCAAGGGTATATTCATCGTTTCTTTCAAAAA